CCTAAGGCGTCTCCTTAGAAAAGATCCATTCAATCCATCCCCTCCCTGGTTTTTGTGTGTGCTTTACCTCAATAAGCAGAATCTGAGTTGGATTTGCCAGGGGCACCATCCAGCCCTCTTTTTATCTAAGGCAACAAGTAGGTATTTGTTTTACCAGATCCCACCCACAGATTTCCAAGCTAGTACTGAGGAAAACAGGCTGCTTTTGCTGCCCTTCTTTCTTTCTGCGGACCAATTATAGCAGGGATGAAGCGCCTCCAGTTTGCAGAAATTCTGTATTCAGCTCAGCTCACTGGGTTCCTCCAGAGGGTAGGGCTTGGCCTCCAAGCAATACTCCCCAAAGGAATTGGCCTCTAGAGGAATTCCTGTGGTTATGTCTGATCAGAGCAGCTGGCACTGGAAGGTCAAACAAGCCCATCTGTAGGGTGTGCCCACCCTTTACCAGTCAAGTCCTCTTCTCCACACTGGGAGGCATAGAATTCCAGGCTTCTTGATGCATGGAAAAAGCAAAATGTATGGGGCAACAATGTGTGTGTGAGAAAGGTAGAGAAAAGCGGAATGAAATGTGTGAATGGGTCCATGCGAAGGAGTCTGTCCAGTTGAGCATGCAGGGGACTGCACGCATCAGTGGAGGTCCTTGGGTCAAAACAGGTCCCCACCTTTGCTTTAAGGTACCTCTCATGATGGTGATAGTGTGCTGGTAGTTTTCATAAATTCTTAACCTTTAGGAGAATAAGCGTAACCTAAATTGCCTAGATCCTTTACATTAAGAAAAGCAGAAAGCACGAGAACACAATTTCAGTGCTTCATATGGATATGATCATCCTTCAAACTACCTTCTTGGTGCACGTCGTGTCATTTGCATAGGGGGCACGTACACTGGATTTATGTATACTCACTTGCTTAGGGCAGGATCCCAATAATGACAAGACCCAACCTGGAGGAAAATCACAACTGCTGAGCTTATAATATTCAACTTGTTACTACAGCTCCTACCCTCTTCAGGTTTAATATTAGAACTATTTTTCACATTGAAACTGAAATAGTACAAAATATGGGCCTGCTGTAATTGTTGTTAGATTATGTGTCAACCTGATAAGATGTAACAAATATTTTCCTACCCAGCAGGGCCCGTTTCCTTGTGGTTAATGGATGGAGAAACTTCTCATAGTCTGCAGGCAATCGGTCGTAAAAACTTCGCTGTAAAGATTAATGCAATAAGTGCAGCACTTCTGGAAAATGGGCAGAGCTGAATTAAAATAATGCAGTGATTTTTCCACATTTAATAATAAACCTTAACCAACTGAGATGGGATTTTTTTCTCACTTGATCATCCAACCCTCCATATATAAACACGCTCTTATTAGATTATTGATTTTAAAATGAAAATTACAGCTTTACTGTACAATGCTGTTATTCTTTCAATTGAACTATTTATCAGTTATATGATAGCCATTTTCATGGCCAAAGCTTTGACACCAATAATTCTGATGGACATCACTTAATAGACCAGATAACCATTCAGGTATCATTTAGCATTCCAGGATTTTTTTAACCCTGTAATCATGGGCATTTTATAGCTGTTAACTGTTTATGGATAGAAGCAGTTCTATTTTCTCAAATTGCTCTCCAATAAAAGATATAATTTGAATTGGATATGTATCTCAGAACTCAAGGCAGTTCTGATTAGTATTTGAAATACCCTTCTAGAACATGAAAACGGGGAAATTGGAGAAAAAGCATCCAGTAGGCACTCTAAGTAGACTCTCTACTAAAATAAAACAGAAAACTACAGTCATCTTTTTCAAAATGCCAGTGTGGGAATTTTTGATCATGACAACTAAATTGGTGGTATGTTACTCCTGCATGTTCTAATATGAACAAATAAAAACTAGTTCTAGCATCAACTGAAATGGTGTTTCAAGAGAAAACAAATATGGTGAGACAACCAGTGTTTGCATTCCCAAAACACAGAAACTTGCAAATTAACTGCATACTTGAGTGCTCTGTCCCCTTTGGGTACAGAAATGTAATGCAATGTTTCTCTTCCTGTCTCCAGCCTGTCATCCCACATTAAAAACACAGTAACAAACCAAAAAATTACATGGATTCTATCCAAGTTCGCTATGTCCTCAAGTCTATTTGGGAACTTTATAGCCAACTGATAGCCTCTAGGACAAGTGGAAAATGGGAAGCAATTTGGTTTGGTTCCTGCTGCCATACCAGTTTTAATAATTTAAAATAGAAGTTTATCAGTTTTTCACTTCCAAGGATTTTTGTTTTCAAAAATGTTACACAGGAAAGGAAGACTGTCAGACTGAGGTCTTGTACCTTAGCTGTAATGAAGCATGTATCTTCCAGTGTACCCCGATTACTAGTTCATTTCCTAACCAGTTCAAGACATTAGTGATTACCTTTTAAAACTCCCAAAGAGCTGCCTTCTGTACCATTCTATCTGCTTCCTACAGTCTATGAAGCAAGTCTTTCCTGCATCTGAAAAATGGAGGAGGCCAGTTTGGTCAAAATGATTTGGATGCCTTCTTTCTGCTTGTGTTCTACCCACCTCAAACCTTTTGAAATCCAATATGCTTTTAAGTGGTCTGGCTGATTTTAATACCCAACTGCAATTTTAATTGATTTTTATCTGCTGTTGTGGTCCTTTTCTGTTTATTTACAATCATGGTAATTTGTTTTTAAATGATGCAGTATATCCTGAGCACTGCTGCTGTCACTATTGCTTTTACTGTGAAATGACAGATGTGTATTTTCCAAAATACGTAATGGCTAGATTCCCAGATCTGAAGATGGTGAAGAATTCTCATCCTGGAGCTGGGGATCTGCACCTGGGTACCTCTCCTGCCTCACAGCTGGTGCAGAAAGAGCCAGACTGGCAACCTTGGAGAAGGGATTTAGTAGTCATTCAGGGGGGTGGGATGGGATGAGACTAGCACTGCAAAGCTACATATCCTGGTGGTGCCTCAACTACATTCCCCCCTACCCCCAAAGCACCACAGTTAGATAGCCACAAGCAGTTGTCCGTTTTGCAGTTCAAGAGGAACATGGAAATGATCTTTACTTCTGTACTCCTCCCGCTCTGCAGAGATTACCTATAATTCTCCAAGAATGTAAAGTTCCAGGCATTCCCAGAGGATTCTGCTCTCATCCACTCTGGATGATTTATTCAGGTATGCGGTTCCCCTAAGTGCTCTAAAAAAACAATGGAAAGTTGGTGCATGGATGTCTCGCTCTTCCGAGAGACATGAGAAAGGAAACTGGTATATTTTTCTGTAGGACAATGTAAAATTCTAAATATATTTGACAATCTCATGGTGTGTGGGGTAGTGGTTTTTAAGTTCCCCCTTTGCAGACTATCTACAACAGTGAGAGATTTGTGCACATTCTAAAAAGCAATGAAAATCACTTGGAAACACAACTTTATAAATGAGGTGCCAAAACAGTGAGCGCTATTGATAAATCCATTTCTAATGAGTATTCTGCATTTGATTCTCAGGACTGAATCTATTTTTTCAAAGCAGTAAATTACTAATAGCACCATATGAGACAAATTTATGAGTATCTCCTCCAAATTCAGAAATCATAGCACTCCTCAAAAACTGTACATTCTGTTTGTTTTGGAGATGGAATCTGTATTTATTTGCTTTTTAAAGAGTGTGATCTACTCTAGCCTACTGCCCCTATCATTCATAAGGAATTTGATCTGCTGTCATTTAACTGTAGGCTTCAGAGAAAGAATCAGAGGCAGATGACTTAATCACAGGAAACCACTACAGCTGTTTGACAAGCTATTTTTTTTCTTACTTTAAAAGAATAAATTAGGTCCACAAAGGACTTAGCTGGCAAAACCAGCTGGAAGCATTATTAATTGCATAAAGTGCATGGAAATCTTGACTTGATACTTTCAGCAGATGTATCTACTTTATGGTGGTTTGTACTCTGCAGTTGTATTCTAAACTGTGTACAATATACATGTTTTAAAATTTATATGAAATATTTAAATTAAGCTTATCAGTTTGCTATTTTTTTCAAGAGCATACCTTGTCTTATGTGTTTAGTGAATGGCTTAATGATTGGCATACAGAAGAGAGTAAGGAAACATACAAGTATGGAAAATTTTCCATTCCTAACGAATTCCAAGTTTTTCATGGATACAGCTGACAATCCAACACGTGGGTGTAAGCCTGCTTAACAGTGCTGCTTTTAAACATGACTGAGGTTTCTTGCTGTGAAAAGTTGTCACTATTTTTAAAAAAGCATCTTCATAGAGTTGAACTTCATAGAGTTGCATTAAATCTTTGGAAGGGTTTTTGTTTGCAGTGTGTAAACCTGGCTTATCTATGCAAGGCACCTCAAGCTATCAGGCTCTGCAAACCAATGAGCAGGGGACTGAACTAAATTTCTTTTGCTCTTTACCCACCATGTAATTTCAGCTATATGCCCTACTTCTTTTCAGACAGGAAACCCCTGCTTTCAGCCTTTATAAATAACTATTCCAGGACAGTCTGTCCAATTCCAGCCCCACTTGCCCTGCTATGGACCTGGCTTGGACTAGTAATGGAGCCATGCGTGCATCTGCCATATTTATTACCATGGCACAATTCTATGAAAACAGTGCATGTGCACAGAGGTGCAGGTCTAGTTTGCCACTACTTGCCCAATGAGAACGCAATAAAACAGAAATTAACACAAGACAGACATTCTCAGCTCTGCTATTATACAAACTACCTTGTTTTCCAGTTCCTTGTGAAACAGACAGAGAGAGTTCTTTGGATACCACACTCCCTGGAGCACACCCTAGTCTGGTTACTCAACAACTGAACTTGAAGAATCCCACACAACTCAAAAGCCTGCAGGCCAAGTGAGTGCTCCTTCAGTTTTGGTTTCAGAGAATGGCAAGGTAGCCTAACTTTTGTTGCATTATCCTTCACTAAAAATTTCCCCATTAAGCAATAATTTATTTTAAAAATTAAACACCTCTCCAGTTATTTGAAAATAAAATATATTAAGGAAACAGACCAAATCTAAAAGATGATCACAGGGGAATGCCAGCACACATCCATTTCACATAGCATGCAATACAAAAAACATTAAGATACCAACAGGCTGAGAAATCATTTCATTCCATCTCAGTGAAGCAGGAACAAAGGAGATTCTAGATTAAGCCACAAAATAGTATTTTGATTATTATTAAGTACTGTTCCAATGGACGTTAACGTCTCTCTTGCCTGCTTTCTTTCAAACACTTGAATATCATAAAATGAAGATGTGAATACTACAAAGGTGAACAAACTTCTTCACTTCATGTATTTCTCCTGTTGATCAGCCAGGATTTTTGCTGAGGATTTGGCATCATAAAAGAGTTCATTTATTTCTTCAACATGCTCCTTTTCTATGCTGTCTTTCCCATTTATCTTGGCTAGCAGATTGGCTGGGGTAAGTAACTGAACAGCGTACCTGAGGCCAAACAAAAATAGCACATGTCAAACTATCATACTAGCTACAAACAAGAACAGAACAAATTCTACAGAGAGATAGGTATAGAAATAGTCCTCATTAGGAATAATATGGGTTGGATCCAACTAGGGACACAAGAGGAATCCGTTTTGGGGGTTGGCTTCCCTGGGCTTAGCTTCCTGAACCCTGGTCCACTCTGCCGCAGCCCTCAGTCTGAGTCCCTGGAGAAAGCACCCAGAGTTTGCGTGGTGCTTGCCAGGAACTGAGCACCAGGGGCTGCGTAAGCAGCATCCCTCTTCTGCACCACATGCAGCAGTCTTTATTGTGTGCTGCTGTGCTTGATACAGAAGAAGGCTGCCAGTTATGCAACCTTTGTTCTGAAAACATTTGTGGACTTTTCAGCTTAACTTCCTTCCTAAGACTGGGCTGTGCAGAAGAGGAAGTCTGCAAATGCAAGAAGTACAGATTCCACTGAGTTTTGTCTGAATCCTAGATCCAATATTGCTGGTCCACCAGCGGAATGGATACTGCTGGTGGCATAGAACCTCCCTGTCCTTTCCAGAGCAGCCCTTCACATGTTCTCCAAATCTGCTCTGGAGGGCCCCCTGAGCATCCTGGTCCCTGTACATTTTTCAAATGTACTTTTGGAAAAATAAACTTTACAGATGGGAATGTTACATATTGAAGCCAGGATCCAAAGATCTATTTAAGACTTACCGAAGGGCTTGCGTTTTCTCACTTTGAAGAGGAGAGCTACCTCTAATGTTGGATCTCAAACAACTTTTGGAACTGCCAAGAGTTTCAAAAGCAGTCTGTGATACGGAATGGAAGACTACTTTGAGAACAGAATTTCAGAATCAATTTCTGAATAACTGCACAGGTATTTAGATCCTAGTCTTCTCCACAGTGGTACTGAAGCATACCTTCAAGACGTTTTATTGCCTTGAAGAAATTGACAATAACTGCCATATTTTAGTTGGCAATGGTCTAATACAGATTTCAAGTGAACGTAATGGTTTTATAGAAATGGGCCAGCTTTGGAAAGATGTAGCAATAACCGCTAGTATGACCAGATAGCCGTTGCAGAATTTATTAAGCACCCTGTTATTTACACAGCTCTGTTAGCAATGTCTGTTTTGTGTTGTTCTGGAATTTATTAAACATAAACAAAAAAGTTGCTAGCCTCCAAGTGGCCAAATGTACTAAATGCACCAAGAAACAGTTGTGAAACAGTTAAGAAAAGCTCAGTTCCATTCACTGATTATTTTGTGCAATCATATTAATTATATGGCTAAAACCTTCACAGCATTTTCACTGTTATCCTGCTTTTAAGTATTTGTAGGTATGTTTGCATACTCTGTATGCGAGCAATAAGAAGAATCTGCATTCTGTGCAGAAATTGAATGTTCCTGGTTTGCAAATGGATTATCCGGATTTGGAGGAACATTATGCTTGGCTATCAGTGTGTATGAAATATTTAATCAGAAATCCACAGTGGTTTACTGGTTACTCCATAGCGATCTGCTCCTGCCCACCTTTACACCATTTCCAAAACCAGTTATAAATACAAGTTCATATTCATGCTGATTCCACATGCCCACCTTAAGGTTGTCTTGGTGCCAATTTCTCCAAGATGGTTCAATGCCTCTTCGCTAATATTAATACTCTCTGTTTGGGCTCGAAGCTTTATGATCTGATGAGGACAAAAATAAGGTAGAAAAATGTATTCGTAACAGTTTGGATGTTTACAATGTTTTATTTTTAAATTGAGCACAGTATTTGGATATAAAACCTAGGTTATGTATGAGTTTGTTTCAATTTCGTTTGGTATAGGGACACAATCAGGGGAGTTCCAGCCTTATAAATAGGGGAATATTTGGCGATATTCACTGTGAATCTTTTACCCCCAAAAACTGTAAGAATGAGGGGGGAATTTACATAGACTGACCTATAGAATCACTAATTATCAATACACCACTAGGAATATTATACAGCATAATTCCCTTGGAGAATTACAACTGTCCTTCCACTGTTCAAATCCATACCAGACTTTTTAGCCTCTTGAAAAATAAGATGGTAAAATAAAGAAGTTAGTCTGTAAGATTCACCTATCCTCACAAAACCACTCAGATAAATCTAATCTATCAGGAACAGTCTCCAGCTTGTACCACTTTGAAGATCTTTGTAAAGTTGAAGAAGAGGAAGAAGATATCACCAATAAGCCTGAGCATATAGAGCTGTAACAAAAGTGGCACCAGGCTCCCTGCAGTCCGTATTACCAGCTGAGTGATAAGGGGCAGACTGGATAATGATGTTGTGTTGTAGTGTTGAGATAACTGTGGAACTGCGAGTCTCATATAATACAGGTATTTTTCACTTTGGCAGCTTTGTAAACAAGATATCAAGAAGCACTCGCTTAAATTAAAGCCATAAAAATGCACCGAGGGAATCAGTGTATATGTGTGTGTGTGTGGGGGGGGGGGAGTGTGTGTGTGGATAAGCACAGAACTGGGGTTTGACATAGTGGAGAGATGGTCTTTAAAGTACACTGCAACTTGAAGTTGCTTTAGGAGTGTTCAAAACTAAGAATTTCTAACTGTTATTTACTACCAACTTCCTCTCTGGAAAACAGGTGGACCTTGGACGTGTGTTTTGTGATCATCAACCTACAATGCCACATGTTTAGGATAAATTTTAAAAATCCACCAACTCCTAAACATCACATTGGAGACATACAAATCTGAGGAGTAAAAAATGTCTTGTGGCCTGAACTCCTGCTATTTCTTTGGATCTTTGGAAGAAGAGTAGTAATGACATTGATTTTGGCAAACAATTTTTGCACAATAAACAACAGTTTACTAAGTGCCATAGTCAACTCAGAATATGCAATCCCCTCCAGGGCTGCATGCAAGAAATAGCCATCAATTTGGATTATGGAGTCAAACTTTCCCCAGTATTAAGGTGCTGAGTACATCTGTGCTATAACAAGGGAAAGGATGGGGCTTGTGCTAGTCTCTATAAAAGGGAGGGACCCTATGCTATGCAAGAAAATCTTCTTTTAAAAAAGGCTTCCTGCCTTCCAGATTAAGCATTCTGGGTTGAATACATAGGAAGATGTGTGTTTCCCGAGATCAAGTTCATCCCACAAAGGATCTTGAAAGACTACTCCATTACAATTTAAGCAAGGAATGGGTGAACTGTTGCCATGAGCCAGCAGTAATTGTCTCTAACCCTTGGCCACAGCCAGACAGCTGGGTGGGAGGGAGGTGCACAACTGGATTACTGATATTTGATTGTGCACTTTCTCTCTCCCTACCTAGCTGGTCCTGGGAACAGCTGAAGGTGCAGGCTGTTTCTAAGATAAGTCAGTTGGAAGGATTCATGTGGAAAGTTGACTGAGGCCCAAAGGTTGTTGATAGATAATATAAAGTATTGCATGAGAGCACTAGTCTTGAAAGAGGGATGTCTAAGGATCCTTTAAACTACAAGAAAAGAAGGCCCTCTTTCAGTTTGAAGAGCTATGCATGTGCTGGAGTAAAGGGGAGAAATTAGCCAAATGCACGTCCACCTCGGAAGGTGATCTACATGGCTTTCAGCAGAACACGCCACTCTGATGCAGGCCCAAATATGCACTCTGTTGAAAGAAAGGCAAAGAGGATGGAAAGCATACAAGCACTTGAACATGCTCTTGCACATGCATCTTGTTTAGGACTGTGGTTCCTCAGCCAGCAAGTGATAATGTATGGAAGCAGATTGCTTTATTTGAAACAATGGATGGAAATTAAAGAGGTAAAGGGGGGGGGGCAATTCTACTGTGGACAATTTTTCTGCAATTACAAAAGAACGTTAAATACGTCAGCTAAGTCACTAAAACCCTATCCAAATGAAATGCACAAGAAAGACAAATTGCAACATACAATTGTTCAAAACCAGATTTACAAGCTATTCTGACATTGACAAGCTTAAGTTTCATTGAAATGTAAATAAAAGTGTTGCTAAAAGGACTTTTGCTTCTAAGACTATTAGATGGTTGGCAAAATCATTAAGATTTCCCACCAATAATATTTTTAAATGGGCAGAAACAGCACTTTCTACTCTTTTCCTTATGAGAGAGAAATAGATTCAGTCGGAATTTTCTCATTAAAGGAGCCCCTATTTTATGGAAGTTCTGAATACCTTAATGTAACCTACTCAATGCAAGAACTTACTGGCTTTTAGTACAGCAGTGATTTCTTCATCTTCCCTACATTCAGAATCACTACACAGCTCTTGTTCCAAATGCTTTAAGAAGCTGACAGTATATACATACTTTTTAAAACAGAATTTACTAGTGTACAAGGCAGGCTCAAAGGTGACCCAGTGAGACCTGTAGTTTAGAATAATATATCAGTGGACTACAAAGACTGATATGAAATCAACCAAAGGCAAACCAATTGAAATAATGCACTAACTATAACCCCCCTCCTCATCCTTTGTGCCTCTGAAAGAGCAAGTTGCAACACGAGTGACAGCGTAATAGTCTTTAGTGAACTTTCAGGCTTTCTGAGAATGACAGAACGTCTGAATTGTCTTTTTATGTTAATGTCGAGATGAAAAACTCTTAGAACATATCTGCATCGTCTACATCAAGGTGCTACACCCATCTTGTCAGCACACAATAACACCCCAAGTGTCCCTACCACAGCGTGCTTTGAAAAAAGGCACTGTACAAAAGCCTCCTTATACCAAATGATATGAGACTTTGCTGCTGCGTTTATATTCAATAAATGCCTCTGCTTCACCTTGGCACTTATCCAGCAGCAGAGACTATTATCTGGTGACAATGCTTTCCGCCATTGACACTATCTCCTAAATAATACAAAGAATTGACATGATAAACTGTAATGGCTCCTGTATGGTGTCAGTCTGCAGCACTGACACGCTAATGAGGGGAGGGGATCTTTGACAAGATGCCAAATATTAGCATACAAGGATTATAATCCATCCAGTAAGATGGGCCCCATAGCTAAGTCCTGAGAACTTAAAAAAATTACACTTCAAAAAGTTGTTCAAGCCAGGATTTCCATTAGGGAGTAAAAAAACAACCACCACATCCTGCCCTCTCTGCATCTATTATAAAATGGATACAGGAATGCATAAGCAAAGCACTGGCAAAAGATGAGAACCCTGGGGATTTCCAAACCCACACTCTTCAAGGTACCAAAAGGGAATGGTTCCATTTCAAATTAAGCAAATATGGAAAAATAAATTAAAAAATACAACATGTATTAAATCTGTAAGATGCATTTCTATCACAAGTAGGCTTCATGAAAATCCGCTTCTGCATCATTTGCAACATAGCGAATCACACACCAGTACACAGAGCAGATAACATGCAGTGTAGTTCCTTTCATACTGATGGGTATTTTTGTTAGTATTGCTTCTGTATACTGATGTTTGATTTTTTACCATGCAAGTTGGCTGTTTGAATACTATTTGTTGTAAAGCTATATGATGTTATTAGGGATTGTACATTGGTATTTTTACTGCAAGCCACTTTCAATGCTATGTAGGAGCACAGCACAGGAATATTTAAATTACATGAAGAAGCCATGGCATTCATCATTTCAAAGTTACATATGGCAGATGTCTCCACAATTCAAGAAAGCTTTACTTTAGAGTCACACTCAGATGCAACTTTTCTCCAAGAAAAGGTCTTGTTTAGTTTAATTTTCGTGCTACAGAACCTAAAAACATTTTTAAAAAAGAACCTACAAGCGGTCACATTTTAACATATCATTTAACAGGCAAGAAACCAGTTCCATTTCATACCACACAGCTACCAGCTGAGGTTCCAGATACATTTCCTCCCACCACCACCAACTGTACATAAGAAAAAAGTTACCTGTTTCATTTCTTGTGGTGTATATAACATGGTTCTAATTATCATCACTCTGTCCAGGAGATCCAGAGGTATCCCGTGAGGAGAGATTATATCTTCTGTACCTCTACAAAGATATAAAGAAAAGCTCAAGCTTCTATATAGCATCTGAATGAATGGGAGGAAAAGATTTTCCTCTACCAGTCAAGTAGAACAACATACAAAAGAAATTTGTCTTAGTTGATAGCTCATGGCATGGAGTCTCAAGGGGGCAGTCTTGCATATCCCACCTCTGCTCTTCATGTTGGAGTGGTTTATATTCCATGTAAGTGAGCCAGTCAATTGAAAAATGTGGATTCAAGTTACAGAATAAGCTTGTTGAAATCCTTTGTCATCACAAAGTATCTTAATTTACAATCTTAGTAAAAATATTTTGAAGCATTTGACTGATGAATACTCCTGCCTCCCACCCCACTGAAACACCTTATCTACGTAAAACAAGGAAATGACTTTGGAAAACTTCTGTTCTCCATCAGAGGGCACTGCAGTTTCACCTGAAACTATTTCTCATTTCAGACGATTCCCAGAAAATCTTGATCCTATTTGGTGGCGGTAATTAGGGTGGAAGCAACACTGTTCAGCACAACAGTATAATATTGATAATTCTTATCTCCCTTTATCCATTACCAATAATGAAACTATTAACATACATTCTTCAACCTACCTCCTCATGTACAAATATCTTCACAACTGAATTGTGGTACATTGGAGACTTCAGAATATAAGACTGGGTAGGCACACTATATTTTGCAAAAGTAGAGGGAAGACCCAGCTTGACAGGAATTATAAAGAGGAGGTCAGGCTACCAATAACATGGGGGAATGTAAGCTATGATATGCCAGTGCGATTTTTGATGACATGCCAATGTAAATTACCATATTTTTCCGTCTATAAGATGCCCAAATGTATAGGACGCCCTCCACTTTTCCTACCGATCTCTGAGCAAGCAAGCTGTTCCCGCCCGCATGCCCCCCCCCGCATGCGACCGTGCCACCTCGCTGCCCCGTGTATAAGACGCCCCTCCATTCTTAAATGTTTTTAAGAAAAAGTATCATCTTATACACGGAAAAATATGGTAGTTTCTTAGCCTGAAGACTGAATGCTGTGATACTTTGGATTATGGTTAGGCCTTCCTTTAAAGACTAACTGGCTATTCATTAATTCTGTGATGTTCTCTTTTCAAGTACCATAGGTTTAAGGACTATAAAGGCAAATAAAATATGAAATGGATGACTGGAAGTTATTATGGTGCGCTAGCTGTTAAGTCATTATACTCAATATCTGCAAACAACTTTACCTCATAGTAATTTATGACTATTTAAAAAAAAAACCTAAAGGAATTGTGTAGCATGTAGGGTACACAGTGTGAGAGGGGGAAATGCCAGAGATCCTGATATACAGTAGTATGTATGTATGTACGTATGTATTTATTACTTTTATATTTCAGGCATACACTGATTCATGGACATGAACTCCTCAGGGTCCTAAAATAAAGAGAACTAACTGCATGCTTGAAAAAAAAGAAAAAGTTGCTGTTTTTAAAAAAATAATCTGGTTTTATCTCAAAATTTCACTATAATGAATTAAGTTAAAAGAATCCATGAGAGATACATTTCCCACTTTAAAGATAAAGTGTCTGTAGCAAGCAGGATAAGATCCAACATGTTAGTTGCAGCAAATTATAAGTCACAAAGAGAGCAAGCAACCCTCAAGCTTCCATTAGAAAATGACACACCAAAGGCTCTTATTTTAATTATTTTATATTGATCTCTATCTAGACAAAAAATATTCATTTGCTGTTTAATGTAGTGTTGTTTTCTTGGTTGCCTTGAACATACCAAAGGAAAGATGATATATATTTAATAGATTAAATAAAGTGCAAGAAAGAGTGCCATAAGTACATACAATAGGGCTATTTACATGTTACGACTGATTGACTATTTCCATTTCTGTAATCAACTTTTCATCATTCTGATTGGAGGCTGTGAGCACAATGGGTGAACCTGTACTGCTGGACAACCCAGCTATTACCCCAACAAACTATGTGTTAATGACTGTGCTGTTTAACCCCTGAAAACCCACTAGTCCAAAGTTACACATCATTCTCACAACCTCCAAATGGGCAGAACGGATGTTATCTAAAGAGACTGGGTGCAGTTAACCAGGAAAAAAATGGATTGAAATAACCCACAATTTGCCTACGTGGTATGTGAACCAGGTCAATGAAGGGACATAAATGCAAACAAAATTGACACAGATAAATCTTTGAATGATATAGATAGTGTATTTAAGTAAAGACCCAGATCATTCTAGTAATACTGTATTACCAGAGAGCTTTGGTTACCGGTGGCATAGAAAAGAAAGAAATAATAATAAACATAAATAATAATTTTAGTATTATCGCTATATCACACACGATACAGCTAACTTTGAAAAGTGGCTTTATTATTATATCATTATCATTTATTACTACTACTATTATTGCATCTTAAGTTTACTACTATTACTATTATTGCACCATAAGTTTACTTAAGACGTAAACAAAGATGTCACAAAGATTAAAACTCAACTTGGTCTTTGCCCACAGTCAAGCCTAGGAGACACACTACATAAAGAAAAAGAGATAGGAAATGAACAGCTAGACAAGTGCATGCTGTGTGTTTAATTAAGATATGAAGTTTCAAAATCATTTTATCATACATGTAAATCTGTTTGTGGGCAAATTAATCCTAAAGTTGCTGGAGAAGCAAAGCCATGGTCTGCTAAGAAAAAAAATATCCTGATTTTATGTGTTAAGAGGGAAGCATATATGAAGGGTGCAACACTGAGAGGCAAAGGGTTCAGAAGCAACAGTATACCAAAACAGATCCAGTGCTTTAAAAAATTACCTTAGCACCACTATTCAGAACATTTTTGGTGGGGAAACAGTAAAGCAACCAGGAATTTACCAGGAATAAAGCTGTGCATAGAGGGGGAAAATTCTCAGACAAACTTGACTCTACAAGAAAATCACAAATTCTTGGTCATTGCAATGTGAAGAATGTTTCCTCTGCAGTGAAGCCCTTAAGCAGCCCTGCAGTAACAGATATGGCTGTGACCCATCAAGATGATTATCACAGGTGTATCAACACCAGGGATAAAAAGCTCCCAAAGATCACAGTTCTTTGTGCTGAAGCAGCTAACACTGAGGCTTATGGGAAGATGCGAACCATGCAGGACTAAGCTTTAAGTACTGTACCTGATTACACAGTTTCCCCGGTTGGAAGCAAAGATGACAATCGGAGCAATAGAAGATTCCAGTGCTCGGTGCAAATACGTGAAGCACTCAATATCCAGCATGTGAACCTCATCCACAAAGAGCACACCAGGGACCAACTCTGCAATGCCTTGATCAATGTATTTATTCACCACTTTGTTGATCTCTCCTCGAAGCTTGTCTAAAGGAAGGGTAAATGTTAGCAAACTCAGGATTTATTTTATTTTAATGAAAGTTCCAAGGTAAGGTACAATTAGAGATCCCCCCTTCACTTTAAGACCATCACTTCAGTATGCTTGTCTGAACAGGTAAATATCTCATGTACATACACACAAACACAACCACAGAATCAAATGTAAGGGAATGTTAAAAATGCAACTCCTTTCCAAGAGAATGATTTCTCATAATTTTAGACTCAAATCAGTCATTATCCAGTGGCTCGTTTTGGAAAAAAAATCTGATGGGGCTAGTTTTCCCGCTTTCAAGATTTTGAAATTCCTTTCTAAAGATGGTTGTTTATTCAATGCAAATCTTGTCAAAGAGTTCCAAAACAGAAACTTTTTTTCTTTTGGAATGTTCTATACTGAGTTCACATTATTTGTTAGCTACAGAAAATACAGGATTCTTCCACTTATTTGTGTTCTGTTCCCAACATATTCACGTAGGACAAGCCTCCTTCCAGCAGTTTGTGGAAAAACTTGAATAAAAGGAAACCTCTGGGAGGAGAAAAAAAAATGTCGAGGGAATACCAGTTAAGGTATTACAAAACCCTTTCCTGGTGACACCACAAGATGATTGACAGTCCCATCAAAATACCTTATGCAACATATTCAAGTGTAATCGAAAGGCTGCATTAAACCAATTGTCTTCAACGTAGTGCCCTCCAGATGTTTTGGGTTATAACTCTCACCTTTCCCAAACAGGAAAACACCAGGCTGGGGAAAACTACATTAAACTCTAGTCACGGAACTGCCTGAAAAATACTACCCCCTGAAACCCTTAGCGATATCATGCAACACACCTCACACTTGGTCAGCACATTCTAACGACTCTTTCTTTTGTCTTTTTTATATAAGGACATAAACCTATCCAAACTAGTGCCACCACATTCAGTGGGACTTGTTTCCATATAAGAACAGAATCACAGTGCAAGTTAGGCGATTCTTGTACCTGTGATTTCAGTTTTTTTAGGTTTCATCAGTTGTCCCATCATGGAAAGGATATCTTGACCACCCTACAGAAACACATTTGGAAATTAGTGTGTGTACAATTTGTACAAAAAGAACTACAAACGTGTAACTTTCAACTGAAAATAAAATGTCAATTCCAAGTCTTCGCATTTAGCTTTCTAATACCAGATGACTCTTCCATAATGGAGGATCAGGTTCATTAATGTACCACTCCAGCATTTTAGAAATGTACAGGTGTATATATAGTCAAGAAGTTTGCTTATCCACATGCAATTTGGGACATGATGATGCAATGTTTTTGTTTAGGATACAATGGGAAAATAGGGGGTGTTTTGGAACAGTTAATCAGCTATAAGAAATACTGGCTAGTATGCACTGGGTGACTTTGGGCCACTCACTGGTTTTGCACTCTAACCTATTGTCATGCCTAACTACTCGGAAGAGGCGTTAACATGTGAAAGAGAGCCAGACGCCCCCAGAGAGGGTCAGGCTTTAGAGCAGGGAGATTTATACTTGGTGCCCATGGATAAAAAAAAAAACAGCCCCCCCAACTCTGAGGTGTTTGAGGGGGTAGCTTCCCCCCCCCCCGCCTCTGGGGGTTTTTTGGGGGGCCCCCCCCCCCCCCCCCCCGCCACCTGACTCTGAGTCTCTTGGGGGGTTGTTGGAGGTCAGGAAGGAGGAGAGTAGGTTGCCGTGGGGGATGCCCAAATGAGGAGATTGATTACCGCCGTGCTGCCGGACTGTTTTGTTTGTGGACAAGGAGGCCACTGGGCTCGTTTCTGCTTGTGGAAGAAGCAGGCGGGAAACTTTCAGTCCCAGCGTCGTTAAGCACCGTGACGCTGGGACCTACACTGCAACCCCAGTGGTGTCCTGCCCCCAGAGGGCCTCCTTCAACCCGACACCTGCTGATTGATGTTACTTTACAGGCACCCCCCCAGCCTGAAATACGGACTACAGCCTTGATTGATAGCGGTGCCACTGCTTCGTTTATGGATGAGAACTTTGCCGAAAAGCACTCCTTTCCAACGTCATCGCTACCCGCCCCACTCCAAGTGGACTCAATTCAGAGGCAACCTCTACAGGGGGGCCCATCGTCACGCCAGTCTTCCCCATTCACTCTGCAGATTGGCAAACATCGCGAGCAGACTGTGTTCTTGTTAGTAAAGAATTTACAGTACCCCCTAGTACTAGGCATGGACTGGTTAGTCAAGCACGAACCTCAGATAACATGGGACTCTGGGCAGATACAATTTAATTCCCGGCATTGCTCCCTACAACTATCTCACAGGGTTTTTGTGAAGATAACTTGCAGAGGAAGATTGGATATACTGCCCTGGACTCTTTGCAGGAAAGGTGGGATAGAAATGTAATAATAAATAAATGTTGTCATTAGCTTTTAGTCATCTGGACTTTTATTCTTTTTACTTGTTCTATAGTCCTCACATTGCGCTCTTCTCCCTCATAAACATTTATTTATTTCTTATACTACATTCAAAAGGCCCTATTTTAAGCTGTACATTCAAAAAACACCTCAGTATACTAAAAATACATATAGAACTAGACAGTTGAGGCTTGGTGGCAATCACTGGTAATGGGGTGTGAATAATATAAATAACATTCTTAGGTAGTTTCTTCATGGACATGAATGCACAGTTACCACAGAGACAGCTCTTCTAATGGAGCTTGAACTTCAGGAAAGCTAGCTTGTTATACAAAGTTTTCCACTGTGGCATTATTTGCAGACAACCATGGAGCTTCAGCTGTTGGGCAGTATAGAAAAGTAGCACATAAAATGAATTGGAATAGCAGAATTCCGCACCTGAGGCCTAGCATTGGCAACATCCAAGTCATGCAAGGTGACATCCTGGATAATTTCTTTCTTCTTGTGCACATCACCCTTTGGCAACGGAACATACTCTTCAGCTTCAAGGTCAAATTCCGTTGCATAGGTATCACACCTGCCTTGCCTCTGTAGTGAAGAATTTGGAAATCACATGCGATATAGTTAGCATTATTGCCAATACCCAGAATGACATATAGCTGATAAATACAAGACTTGTTCTACAGTTATGATCCTTACAGGACAGGTGACAGTTTTGAAAATGCCATCCTTGTCCTTGAAAAATGAATGGCCAATCAAACTGTGAAATTCCCCTGGAAACACCTAGTATTTGCTTCATTCTTTTGAGCACACAAAATTCTTGCTAAAGGACAAATCCAGATTTGGCAGATATTGGCGAAACTGTTCTAAACTCCTTTGAACATGGATGATTTATTGTTTGATACAAAATATTATGCTCATCCATTAAACACCAAGCATCTTTCTACACTACATTTTAAATCAGATATGAAGACCATGCTAACTAATGCAGCATTCTGTCCTGGATACATATATCTTACGGCAAAAATACCAGGGAGATAAAGATTAAAGGCTCTATGCATTTCTTATGAGTCAAATCTCTCACTTATATATGAAAACGAACACATGCAAGCATGAGGTGAAATGTAAAAATGAATCCAGACCATATTTAAGACAGCTGTAACCAGCGCTCCCAAAAGGATGACCTTACTTGATAGTCAAAATGATCACTCTTCTTGCAGGTGGCCTGCATTTCACCAGGCGGGAGGAAGAAAGTCCTACGCTTCCCTTCAGAAAAAGCTTAGCTATCCTAGAGGGATTGATAAGGTTGTTCGGACACAGACTTCAGGCCACAGGAGATGGGAAGTGCTATCAGAATACTTGCTGTGTCAGAGGTCTGACTGCTTTCTTTGCCTTACTTTAACAGCTCCACTGTTTGCTTCAATGTAAATCACATCGCCAGCTTCTACTCTTTCCTTTTGCAGACTTTCAAAGATACTGGGGTCCAACTGGAGCAAGAGGATAAACAGAGATCAACTATAGTAAGATGCAAAAGTCTCAAAACAAGCAGTTCTAATTAAAAGTTAGTTACAGTTCAAAAAAGAAATAGCTCATTTTAGAAATTTTGTTGGAAAACCAGAATCAGATTCACAAGTCATGTAACAGCAAAAGCCTATGGGGATGTCCACATCCCTCCCAACTTGAAGCATTATAGGCATCTTACAGAGAGGGGAGAAGCAGGGAGGGAAAACTCATTTTTGTGCTCTGCTAAACTCTTAGGTGATCATTTTTGGATAAGTGTGGCACTCAGGAGGGAGAAGGAAGGAGGTGGAAGCACTTTCAGACTGTATCATATCTTGCTGAGTTCCTCGCCTGCCTGTGTCTTGGAATGCCCCCAAAAGCCCTTCTCCAAGGCTGCTCCTATGACCTCGGAGTATGGAGTGGTTCTTTTTGTGCCAGCTGCAGGAGCTGAGTGTTTATGTGACCTAATATAGCTCCCTAGCTACCAGGTCAGAACATTTTTCTGATCCCACAGTTGGAAATCTGAAAAATCCTATCACTGTCCAGATGCTGTCTCATACCCACAGGCTTGCACAGTTGTTCATACTAAATGTACTATTTAGTAATGAGGTAATATTTAGCAAGCATATTGTTCCTATAGTTCAACTTTTCTGTTGTAATCTTCAGGTGCTATTAGAACTGTTTAATTTTCAGCTGTAGCTTATTTCTCTGAAGAACACATTACACTATGTCAAGATGTAATGATTGAAATGCATTTTATGCTGAAACACAACTAAACCACATGATTATGGCATGTATTCTGTATGTAATGTTACTGTTGTATCTGTGCACCTAGATACACAGGTTGACATAGAAGTCAACAGACCATGCACTGTTTTGAGTGGCTTTTTGTGTTCTTATTTTAAATGTAGGATCCAGCAATCTTGCATTCTCAGAAGTCCCATGAGTAACTGGATTCCTTTGATAGAGATGGCTGCAAATGATATGGATTTAACTTTAATTGTAAATGTAAAGAGAACAAGTACATAAGTCACACCAAGATGACAGGAGCTCAGAGGTTCAGCAGCTGCCTCAACAGTGAAATGCTTCCGACTCCTTCCTATATTATGGCTTTTTTATGTGGGGAGAAAACCACATCCAGGTAGGGCAAGAAACACTTGAGTTTTGCTCACAAGTGTTCTTTCTCTCTGGATGCCATTCACAACTTTCCATATGACAACCCTTTCCCTTAGTGCACACACACATCAGTGATTAGCAAATTTGGTACATTCAAAAGCAGCATGTGCAACACTATTTACATATCTAAGAACAGCAGTGTTGGATCAGACCAAATGTTTGTTTTAGACCAAAGTTGTTCTATTTTGGCATCCTGTTTTTCAGTGATCAGATTCCTCGGAAAATGTCACAAGGATGTCCCAAAGGCAACAGCCCTCTCCTAATGCTGCTCCTACTTCCCAGAAACTATTAAGAACACATGAAGAGCCACATTCATTCAGACGATGCTCTACCTTGTCTGGCAGTTTGCTCCCCAAGCAGTCAACCAGATGCCTGCGGAAAGCTTTCAAGTAGGAAATGAATACAACAGGTTGCGCACTTAGGCGTACTGCCTCTGATACTGATGGTGCTATTCAGCCATCATGACTAGGAGCCACTGATAAACTTCTCCTCCATGCATCTACTTTAAACCTTTTTAAGTAATTCATGTTGGTTGAAATCACTAATTTTGTGGTAGCAAATTCCATGGTTTAATTATGTGCTGTGTGGAGACGTACTCTCTTTCCCCTAAATTGCCCAGTGCGTTCTAGTATTATGAGAGGGGGGAAAAATCTACCTTCTCTCACACCATGCATAATTTTGTACATTTCTATCATGTCTCCCCTCACCCTTTTTTCTAAGCTATAGCTCTAGTGCTGTAGTCTTTCCTTATAAGAAAGGTTACAATCCAGTCCTTTGATTGTTTTGGTTGCCCTTTTCTGCATGTTTTGAAACTCCGTAATAGGGTTTTTGAGGTGTGGTGACCAAAGCTGAACATAGTATTCTAAGTGTGGGTTCACTACAGATTTGTATAAGGGCATTATGTTAGTGGCAGTTTTACTTCCAAATCATTTCACAGTAGTATTCAGTGGGATGCTGGAAGAAATACAAGGTCATAATGACTAACAGTTATTGTTTCATTTTTGGCGACTATATTTGGCAAACTAGTAGTGTCATATTTATTGAAGTTGAATATTTCATAGTGACATAGAAACAGAGCGAGTCAGAAGGGGCCTCCCAGGCCATCTAGTCTGACCTCTAGTCTGTAACTACAATTGCAACTAGTATATATTGCTATCTGCAGTTGTCTCTTATCAAACACAAGAGAAAAAAACAGTTGACCTCAGGAGGAAGGGCTACTTGGGGATCTGGTTTAGGTTTTTCCCCAGCTCATGAAAGCATACAAAAGTTTAAGTTAACCTGACTGAGGCACCAGCTGATGGAGCATTCCTCCAACCAATGCCTTGGTACCTTCCCTGTGCCTTCCCTCAGCAGGGAGGATGAGAGTCAGGCAAAGCACTTAGTGTGTTGCTTGTGCTCTCAGTTAGGAGAATACCCACTAGCCTCACGGGCTAGGGCTAGGAAGCAGACTCTGCGAACTGAAGATTCATAATCCCTGTTAGACGGTGCATGCAGCCAATCAATTTCCTTGCTCCTTTACACAGAGCACAAGGAACAACGTAAGAGTCTGAGGTATGCATTTGAGAAGTGATCATCCTTACCTTCAACTGTTTGGTTCCTTTTGCAGTTTTGAGTCCAATTATGACATGACTAATAGTTTTACCATATCCTCCCATAGGGTTCTCAGTTTCACATGGAGTTAATTCTGTGACTTCACCTTCATAAACTTCCTTTGTTTCTTTAATTCTCAGTCCTGTAAAATATTTATAATATAAGCTATACAAATTAATTGCTGCTTATAGCAGACTAATCTTATTTTGTCATCTAAAGCATTTTTGCAACATCTTATTTAAATATTTTTCCTTCTAATTTGATGATGTATTGACAGCCCTTCTGAACACATTCTGGTGCCTACTAGCAAGTGGCCAAACCCACATTCTAAGTCTTCAAGACTATCCAGAATTGTATGCAATCCCCAAAATATCCTTTCAGGGTGAAGTCTAGATGTTTGAATAAAAATTCAAACATGTTTCTATCAAATAGATTAGGTAAGTACTTGTTCAGAAAATAAACCCTTCAGACAAGTACAGTTATTTTAAAAAGAAGAAAAAATAACTTTTCATAAAGGATGAATCAGGCATAAAATTCAACAGATGGAAGTAGAAGAATTTCTATCTTTCAGTACACCAGATACTTGTTTAAAAGCATCTCCATGCTGACATCCAGGGAATGTTGAGAACCCACAATGTGGCTGGTTGGTAAATTATTGCTATCTCTAGAAATGACAAATATGGATGATACAGGTTTCAACTGCTGGTTCAAGTTTCCAAATCTGACAGGGGACTTCATCACATCAAGGAAATATTGCAGACTGTGCTCTCTCTATCTCTGTGGTCTCTTCCCCTCAACCCTGCCAATTTAACTGTAACTTAAAGACCACAGATGATTGAATATCCCTTTCTTACAGAAATCAATGGGACACCTTTTTCAGTTACAAGGACTGATGGAAATGCTTCTTCACCTTAATGCCACAGAATACTTAGATGATGTCTATGGTAAATCATGATGCACAGTCTAAAGGAATTAACAGACACAATAATAAAAAAATGGGCTATCTTTGCACAATCCAAAGGTCTGCAAGGGATAGTTCTATCCGCTGTCAGCAGTAAGTAACACAGGAAGATTCTAGATGCTTAATGTTTTGTTTGCAATTTCAACTGTTCCTCTTGATAAATGGAAACTCAAAAGAATTCAATTGATAAATTTGCAAGTATTAAAGAGAAAATTAACTGAACTGACAAGCTACTCATCTTGTTGCTAACAAACACTTTGTTCTAATTTGTCTGGCACCATACTGTAAGGATGTAAAAGTAGAGTAACATTCTTGTGCTGTTTCTGTCCAGTAAGATTAAGCTAAAGGCTATAATGAAGGTAGTATAATTCATGCTAACAAAAGATTCAGTAATACTTAAAAAGTACTGAAAACTGAAGCAAGAGATGGCATTATAATCATATAAATATACATATTCAATTAAAAAACAAGCTTCTATTAAGAATCTATTTTTCTTGTTTTAAGATACTTACCAATTGCTCGTCTGAAATTTTCCATCAAGACTTCCGTTTTCTTTATTTCAGTAGAGTATACCTCACTTCCAACCATAGGGCAAAAGGGAACCTTACTACCCAGCTCTTGAGCAATAGCTAGAGCCAAAGCAGTCTATGAAAGAAGGCGGCAGCTTTATTATGCACATATTTAAAAGAATTTAAAACAGTTCAGAAACAAGATGGCTATCAAATTTAAAAATTGAGAGCTGGTGTGGTGGTTACAGTAGTGAACTGGGAATCTGGGAGATCTGAGTTCTGGTCCTATTGGATCATGAAATGCATTAGGTACCTTTGGACCAGTCATTCACTCTCAGCCTAACCTACCTCACAAGGCTGTTGTTATGAGAATAAAATGGATCCAGGTACACCACCTTGGGTTCCTCACAAGAAGAGAAGGGCAGGATATAAATGCAATGCAATACTGGTACTAATAAGGTGAAATGTTATGACTTTGGCTTGGATCCAGAGCTCACATGTCATTTTCTTTTTCTTTCTTCACCCCCTGAAAAGTTTGGGGATCTTTCAGAAGAAAAGTTTGGGGACCTTTCAGAAGAGTGTGTGAGATACAGCTGGGAGCTGCAGGGGGAAATGAAAAGAAATGGAGTCCTCATTGAGAGCCTCTTTTGGATTTCAGTTCCTTCTGTATATGGAAAAAGCCTTTCCATTTGTGGAGACTGGATCCATGGATTTATTTATTCTGATTCCAGGGAACATAAAAGTCCTAAATTTAGGGGCCACTAGAGAAAATCCTTCTAGTTGAATGTAATTGTATCTGGAATAGAGCTTTGTTGGGTGATCACAAACTCAACTCCCACAGGGGAGACAGAGGGAACAGAGGACATAAGAAGAGAAGCAATTCCCAAGATAACCCAAACCACAGAACATTAAAGTCAGCAATGCAATATACAACAATTTAAAACAACAAATCCTTAAAAAACAAGATAATTAAACTAATTAATGTTAATTTCATAATTGAAGTGGCTAAATTAAAATGATGTGACCATACACATTTTCTAAAAGTCTAGCAATTGCAGTACTTGAGATTATCAGGGCTACCAAATGCTTCCAAGATAAGTAAAACAAACCTGTTTCTCCAGACAGATACACTAGCAATACACTTCTGCTTTAGCCATCCAAGCATTGCACAGAACCCATGCTTCTGAAGGGGTTAGTATTCAAGACTCAGGAATTCATTCCTGTCCTTTCACAAGTTCAGTTGTAATACATCAGCAACTTGGAAAACAACAGGAACTCCTACTTTCTCAAGATTCGTTCTGCACCTATTTAGTGAAAACGACTGCATTTGGACTGTAAACAGACTACTGCAGAGGGAGAGGTGGGACTGGGGACCTTCACCATTGACTCTGATGTGAGATAAGCTCCTTTTGGCTCCATCTCACCCCAAACTGATTACATTTAAACTGATCATTATTAGAATTTCAGAACTTATTGGTGCCTGAGCTTGCATGCTATTCGCCATGCTTACCAGTTATTTTTAATAAATTATTTCTTCTTTATCATATAAGCTTAATCTTACTATTTCAAAATCATTACATATAGTTTCCTAGCCTGTATGTTTTTAGAACATGGGATCATTCTGACTCTAAAGATGTTTAGAGCAAGGTTTGCTTATTAACACTGCAGCCATTATTGACCATACCTTCTTAATACCTCAATATAAGTCATACAAACAGTATTTTACATTAAAAACTGGAAAACCATCATTTTTTCACTGTTATTTAAACTGTTACTTAATGCTCCTAGTATCTCAAATTTTATTTTGCTAAACATTTGGTGGTTAAGCTATTGCCCCTGTCTACAACTGTGGCACTCTAAATAGCACAGGAAATGTATCTGTTTTAAAAATATATTTAATGCAATCACACCAAAAACTTCACTGTGGTAACCAGTACTTGTAAACCTGCTAGTATAAAGCATATTTGAACAAGCTGTATTTAAGACATTAATACCTTGCCAGTTCCAGGAGGTCCTGCCAACAACACAGCTCTGCCAGCCATCTTCTTGCTTTTGATCAGTTCCACAATAACACCACATGCCTACAAAATTAAGATATACAGTTAGCAGAAAACACATAGGGTTGGATCTAGTATAAATCTGCCATGAATGAAAGGGGGAAGAAATTATAATCACTCCCCCTCCCATGCCTCCCTAAAACTCTGCTCCAGAGTGTTGGAGGACCATCTGGTACAGTGTAGGAGCTGGTGCTGGGGCCTGCAGAGTGGGGAGCAAAGACTGTACTCCCCCTCCACTGGAAAGGGTTGTTCTGAGTGAAACTTGCTCCTTGGAGGAATGATGCTATTATTATGTAAAGATTAAAGTTTTCTACTACAGTACTTCACCAGTCTGTGATTGAAATGGCTGGTCTACAGGCTGCCAGTGTTTTGTGTATCAAAGGTAATTGTTCAACCCATGCCCAGGTAGTCAGAAATTAGTCTCACTGTGTTCAGTGGGATTTAGTACTATATGTATAGGATGGTGGTCTTCCTCTAAATACAGTATTAATAAAAAGTCTGAACTCTGATAAATACTAAAGCAACTGGGTCTATAAATCTAATGCTGGAAAAACTAGAAAGATAAAATTGCTTGAAGAAGTGTATTTGATCCTGTCATTGATTTTTGCCTGTAGAGGCAATGTGTTTCCTACCAGCAAAAAACTGCTTGAAATATGGCACTGAAAAACACATATAGCTACATTAGAGTAACTATAAAAGGAAATGTACTACTGTACAAAGTAAATCTTAAAAAGACTTAAATCCAACCAAAGTCATAGCTTACCACAACCTTTTTCTAATTATAGAGTGATATGGCATGATGAAAGCAGATAGAAAGTAGGTACTAAGCCAATTTCTGGAAAGTACAAGCTAGGCTGGCATCTAGAGACTATATATTTCATCTGCTCCATAAGGAACAATATTTGTTTGTTTCACCTCTCTTCTTAGTAACGAACAGGATAACTAAGTGTATATAACATCATTAGCCTGTGTTTTTCTTTTGAGGGTCCCAGCCCTTTATGTGAGGTGGGATGGGGGGCAGGAAAACATATAACATGATAACCCAGCATGTTACATTATTCCAGTCATTCTAAGGAAGATTCACAGAATAGCATCAGTTCCATTTTCTCTTATAATATTCAGTTTCTATCTTCAGTTTTCTTATTTAAAAAGTTGATTAATACAGGCTGGCAAAGTGTTTCTTATTCTCACGTACCAACCTGATTGTTACTATTATTATTTTAGTGTCCAGAATTTAAACCAGAATTCTTGTCTGAAGGGCAACACAACTCATCGAAACTTTAAACACAAAGAATATTTGAGTTGTCAATACAAAAAGTTGACACTGCCAATTCTGCCTCATCTAATTACCTTATAGTGGCAGATATGGCACAGAGTATGAGTGCTGTTAACATCTGTGTTTCTTTAAAAATGAATGGTGACTGAAAGCCTAATGATCTGAAACAATGAAGTAGACACTTCTCCAGGGACATAACACACTTGAAATCTGTATCCAGTAGAGTAGTAACAACTGCTCAGTCTTCAATAATGTTCTTGAGAAAAAACAGGTTTAGGTTAAACATTTTGTAAGACTTCCAAATAATTACCAACTCAGCAGGAAAATAACATTTCTAGGACAGCCATCAGCATTCCCTTTTTGGGAGTTTAAGAAAGAGCATGACAGGCAGGATGCTTCAGGTACAGGAAGCCTAACATCTGAGCAGAGGCTTGGACTAGACTGGGGATGCACAATCTGGTACCTTCTTGATGCTTGCATTACAATTCGCATAATCTAGTGAGAGCCAGTGTAGTATAGGGATTAAGAGTGCAGAACTGGAACTCAGGTGATGTGGGTTTTAGTCCCTGCTCAGCCATGGAGCCAACTGGTGATTTTGGGCCACTCATAGACTCTCAGCCCAATCTACCTCACAGGGTTGTTGGGGAATAAAACTGAGAGTAAAAGGATAAGTTGCTCTGAGTTTCTTTAAAAAAAGGAAAAGTAGAGTATAAATCTAACCAATCTATCAATCCCTGACCCCTAGCCATAGCAGATTGGACTTGGTAGCTGAAAGCACATGGAGGCCAGCATGGTGGTGACCCATGGACTAATGAACTTTTCTTATCCCTACAATTCTTTAAAATCTAACTTTTCATTTGTTCTGAGAAGTAGTGTAGGATCAAGGCTGCTTATTGTGTGGCTTGACAAGGTGCAAGGCACACAGCCTCACACATCATTTCTCCCCTCCTTTCTGCAGCAGCGTAAGATGCTGAGTCAGGCCCTTGGTCTATTAAGTCCAATACTGTTGACACTGACTGGCAGCAGCCCTCTATGGTTTCAGACAAATTTATTTCCTAGCCCGACCTGGAGATACCGAGGATGAACCACTACCCTGTGGCAAGGGCTTTATAACTGAGCCACCCTCCAGCACGGCTAAGGAGCCTCACCGCGGCACTGATAAGCCTCAATCGTTACTGGCTATTGGATCGGGTCCCTGGCTGTCCTCGGAGGGACCGCAAAGAAGCAAGGCCGCAGGACGGGGAGAACGGGGTAGGGAGACCTGGGGAAGACGAGAGGGAGGCGAGGCGAGGCGAGGCCTGGCCTGGCCTGGCCTGGCGCCAGAGTGGGAAGAGCCGCTCTTACCTCTCGCGCGTTCTCCTGCCCAACCAACCCGGCTGCCGCTGGCTTGGCCGCCCCGCTCTCATCCAGGCCCAGACCCTTGACATGGCTGTGCGCAGCGATGCGCTGCGTCTTCGAGGTGCTCTTCACCTCCTCGATCTTCATCCCGCTGCTGGCAGCCACGAGAAAGGGAGGCACCGGGAGACTCAGTCCGCCTCTCTCCGCTTTCCCTTTCCGCCGACTCCACACGCGCACCTAACGTGGAGGACCCGCGCGTTACTAAGGTTCCCGGCGCTCTGCCGCCTTGTTCCCGCCCCCGCCAGCCCATTGGATAGCCTTACGCATACTCGTTTACCCTTGGACAAGTCAGTTGTCACTCAAAGAGCACGGGGTAAGTCCTGCCCGGGCAAATCAGCTTTGTGCTCCGTATAAGATGCTCCGGTCGCGTCAGGTGACCGGGGAAAGGAGTACCCGGCAACGAGCAGGGTTGCCGGGACGGTCTTTGAAGTGCCTGGTGTGCAGGCGCTGTAGCGATGCTTCTAATAGATACACTAATATTTACACGCTTAGTGTTTTGGAATTGGGACAAAAATGACATGCACCAAGTCGAAAGAACGTCAGCGTCTTCCAATCTTACCAAATTACATTCCATTGGAGGCACAGATATCTCCAAATGAGGCGCTCTCTCTTATCAGCATTAGCAACGCCTGTGTTCTACCTCTCCTGCACCGAAGTTGGAAAGTTGTTCCACGCAATAACATTATGAGGGAGGTCGAGCCACTTCGATGGCTGACCATATGACTTTTCGGTATTCAGCCCATACCCTGCAGTTACTGCCCTACTCTGACATTCAGCCTGACTCAAGATTCTTAGTTACTCATTAAAAAGTACTGTTCACACGGCGAAGGAGCTCTTTTAGAACGTGTTCACAACGTTGCCCCATTTGACTTGTGCATTCCCTTATACGTGAGGTCTTTATGGAAATTAGTTAGAAAAGGTAAGCCCTAAAATTACAAAAACATAAGTATTATTTTTGTTTGCAAGTTAATTACAATGTTTTATTTAGAAAACATCCTTTTTACTCTTGTTTTGTACGTTACTGTGTATGTTATAAGGAAAGAGTATAAGATGCTTTGAACCTCTGTGTGCCATTTTGTGCCCTGTGGCTGATGCCCTCCAAAAATCCTTGCATCGTCTTCATCCTCTATGGTCTTCAAATTTCAAGAGCAATGTTACATCTGTCCATTTCAATGGGCAACTGTAACATTTAAGAAACACAAAACAAACAAAAAAAACCTCTCTCCACATACAGTGAACTACATTTATTTGCTTTATAAATGCCCCAACAGAGAAATTGAGCCAGAATTTTACCTAGAAACAAAAATGATGAAACTGAAGCTGTTGTACTTTGGGCACATCATGAGAAAGTAAGACTCATAGAGCAGATAATAATGCTAGGGAAAATTGAAGGCAGAAGAAGAAGAGGAAGACCAACTATGAGATGGATTGATTCAGTAAAGGAAGCCACAGCATTGGATTTACAAAAGCTGAGCAGGGCAGTCAAGAATAGGACATTTTGGAGGAGATTCATACATAGGGAGATGATTTGATGGCATGTAACAAGCATTCATTCATTCATTTCATTGGAAGCAGCAGCAGCACTTTTAGACCTTAAATCTTGGTAGAAGACCCCACAAACCTTGAAATAAGAATGTCTTGTTGGCTCAAACCACATACAAAATTATTCTATTTTCAGCAGAAGATGCATCATTTTGACTCCTGACTAATATGAATTGTTTCCCTCCAAATTATTAGAGCTAGGCAGGACTGAAAATGTTGATTATTCAGATAATTTTTAAAAATATATGGTTAATTGGACAACATGCTTAATGTTTTTTTAAATATATGTTCAGTGTAAATGCTTTAAAAAAATCCACAGATGGCATGTAAGGAGGCACTTTTCCTACTTTATGAGAGTGAATGGGAACTTTTAAAATATGAGGTCCACTTGCAAGAATATACACAGGAACTAAAAACAAAGACAACATAATGTTTTTCTTTAAAGTAATGTTAATTGATATGTGAATGTATGCAAATTTAATTCATCTGTTTAAAGTTACACAATCAGCCAATCCTATGGATGTTTAGTCAGAAAAAAATGTCCTGCAATTCCTAACATTCTCAGCCAGCATGGCTGTCTGGAAGGATACTGGGAATTGTAGGAGTTTTTTTCCCTGTGTAACAGGGTATACAATTGTGTCTGAAAGCAGTAATCCCAAGGACACTTAGTAGGGAGTAAGCCCCTGTCAACTCAACTGGAGTTGTGTTTTAGGATTATAACTAGGAATTATATTGCATGATTTCTTTAATCATAAATGTTTAAAGGGATTTTAATCTGGTTATACATGTGACCATGCAACACAGTGGTAAAAGGAGAATTAAATATTCCCCCTTTTGTGTGATTTACATAACTATGAGACTAAATATGGATGACAAGTATGGATGAAAAATATTTCTAAGGGCTGCAATCAACACCTTATGTTGGAATCTTGTCTGAGTTTGCAGGAGAAGTACTTGGACAGTTCTTCCCATGAATGCAAAAAGTATCTCAGTGAAACATCTAAATCAACCATTGCTACTCTGTAAAGTGGTCATGAACAAAGCAGCACCATCTATCTATATGTAACAAAAAAGTAGAGAATTGTAGCCTTAAACTATGTTGTTTGCTCTTTCTACTCTTAAGTTAAACAAAATTGCCCATTGTGTCAAAGAGGCATTCACCTTATTCTGTCTGTCTATTAAATTTGTTTAAAGGTGCCCATTAGCATCACAGCCTCTTGGCAGCCACTACTAATGATCCTGCTCCCTCCCTTTATTTTGCTTTCAAGAGTACAGTGGTACCTTGGCTCACGAACTTAATCTGTTCCACAACTCTGATTGCGACCCAAATTGGTCATGAGCCAAGTCAAACTTCACCATAAGATTCAATGTAAATACAGTTAATCTGTTCTGTAACTATTTTTTTAATCACAAAAATCTGAAGCAAAGAGACAAAGAACAACAAAGATCGCAGCCATCTCCCCCTGCCCCCCCTCCCCCAGCGCGACCTCGATCATGCCTGTGTTCCCTGCACAAGTACGGCCGCAATCGCGGCCATAGATGGGTGAGATTGTGGCCATCTCCTCCTCACAACATGATTGTGGCCATCTCCCCCCACCAAGTGCAATCATGGTTGTGCTAGTGCAGGGAAGACAGGGCAGTTGTGGTCATCACCCAATGCGGAGTTCTCAACCCGAGGCAATTTTTTTCTGAAACTTCTGTTTGCGACCTGATTTGGTCATGAACTGAGGCATTTGTGAGCAGAGGTACCACTGTATTGCTTCAGACCACACAAAAATTATTGTGAATTTATTGGGAAAATCTCAATAAGTGTTACAGAAATGGTTTATGCATGCATTTGAACTTAAGTCATGTAATACAGCTGTTGTCTGATGCAAAGCAGTTATAATAATAAGGAAAAAATACTGAAATTCAGTTTAGCACTCCTGTTCATCAATAGGCAAGAAATTAATTTGGAAGATACCATGAAAGAAAATATTTTTTCAGATAAAGCAACCATAAGCATTTCTATTATTAACACTGTTTCTTAAAAGAATACAAACTGGTTTTGTTGCATTCTTTTGGGTTGAAAGACCTAAAATACAACTCAATATTCCACTAACCAGAAAAAGAATACTGTTAAGAAAACTTAACCTATTGATCTTTGGGTTTAATCAGTTTATTTCACCAACTTCTCTTCTGCTGTTCTCTGTGCATACCAGCCCACTTGTGGGGTGTGTATGTCTGAACAGTCAGCCTCCTCTTTAGCACAGACGTCATGTGATACCCAAGGAGGGAGCTGGAGACTTCAGAGTGGTTTTGCCTAGACTAAACGTTTGAGGTTACAGGACATTGCCTAGTTTCATATAAGCTTCCAAATTTCAGTGGGACATGCTGAACCCTGAAATTGTCAAATAGTATATTATTTTTGGAGAGAGGAGAGTGTGTGAGTGTGTGAATGACCTTCACATTTTTCACCCATCCCAAAGGTCTGACTTCCTGCCCTTGCTCTCATGAGGCTTTGAAAACTCAGGCAATTAATGGCAACATATTATGAAGGAGCAATGTAATGTATAGAAAAGGAAATTGGAGAGATGGGTGTTACATCTAATTAAGAAAGAGAGGAAAAATGTTTTTGTGCCCTCTTCTGTTTCTTTATTTATGATTTGTAAGGGTTATATTTTTGTAACCTTAGTAATAGCAAGTTTGAGTTCTCCTCCCCCTTGCATATCTTTGCTGGAGGTCCCCCTTTGGAGGGTCCAGGAAAATATGCAGGAACTTTCTCAGCCTTTTAAAAAAGAAAGCCATTTGGCTGTACAGATGCCTTTACTTCTAATTCAGCAAGAATAAAAACATCAGACAAAAGGATGTTCATTCAGTGCTGCTGGTAACTTTTTCAGGTTCCATCATAAGCCTGGACTTGAGGAAGTGTAGTTTAATTTTCTGAAGTCAGCAGAATGTGCTTTGTATGTATCTCATACTATGCATACACTTGTTAATTTGTTTGCAATGATAGTTCCTGAACGTGTATTTATGTTTTTGCAGATGTGGAAAGCCCTTCAAATGTTTAAAAAAACAGGTGAAAGACTCTTGGTCAAAACACAGGGACATTTATTTATTGTATTCTTCAGTAGATCACACTTTTAGTAATTCTGTGCATTACTTGCAAGCAGATGAATGGTTCCAAATTCATAAAAATCCACTAACATCAGAAACTGGGACCTTGACCCTCCAGATCTCTTAGGTTGGCATCTTCACCTCTAGTGAACTATTAGCTCAGATTGGTTATTTTATGTGCTACTTTCCTCATATTCCCTTTGGGGGTGTGTACCCCCCCCCCAAAAAAAAAAAAAAGAAACAGCCAGAAACAAGTTCTACAATGCTGGCTCAGAGATGCTGGTTGTAAGGTCTGCTTAAAGAGGCATAGGACTGCTTAGTATATCTGTCAATATTCATTGTATCATATATGTCTCGTTCTTCCAATGTATGTATATATTTGTGTTATTGTAGACATGCTTACTGGTGGAAGAATTGTACTTGTGTTGTGGCTATAAAGGCAATGTGCAAGAACTTAATGGGCTGTTGTGTGTTTAGGACGCTGCTGTATGAAATAGTTATGAAGTGTTTGACTTCGAGCATGAACAGAATCTAAATTGCACACACGAGTTTCACAGGCCGTTAATCGGGGAACTGTTCTGCAGTTGCTGAGGGTGCTTTTGCATAGCCAAGCACAGCCTCAGACTCAACCCCCCCCCGCACGCCCGCCCGCCCACCCACCCACGTAATGACTGGCCGCACGAGAGGTCTCCTCAGCGGTGCCCCGCGAGTTGCCGGAACGATCCGAACGAGGCCTGTGTTGCCGCGGGGGTGGTGTTACGAGCCGGACTGCCTTGCGAGAGACGGGAACGGCGTTAGACGCCTCGATGGCCGGTGCGACAGCTGCTCCCCCGGTCCCGCAGCCCGGCGCCTTTCGTCGGCTGAACGTGAATGTGGGCGTTCTGGGCCACATCGACAGCGGCAAGACGGCGCTGGCCCGGGCCCTCAGCACCACTGGGTCGACTGCCGCCTTCGACCGGGCTCCGCAGAGCCGCGCTCGGGGCATTACGCTGGACTTGGGCTTCTCCTGCCTCTGCACCGATCTGCCCCCGCACTTGGGGCCCGAGCCTGGCCAGCTGCAGCTGACCCTGGTGGATTGCCCGGGACACGCCTCCCTCATCCGCACCATCATTGGAGGTAAGAGGGAGAAGCGAGCAACCCGCCAGCCCCGCCCCCGTTCGCACGCCGCGGAGAGAGCCCCTCGTAGGCCGTTTCTCCTGCAGGGCACAAAAGCTGTTCGGAGGGAGCAGGGCTTGGCCGCATGGTTTGGGTGGGCGCCCATCCTCCCCCGATTCTTTCGTTAACTTGACCGCCTACGGCGTGAAGTGGGGCGAGTGGGCTGTTGAGTATAAGAGATGGCTCGTGTTGCCTGTGCTGCTTGGTAGGACCCATTCCTCCCTACAGGCCCTCTGCTTCCCCCCAGGCCTCGAAAGAAAGGAGGAGATCGCTGCTCCTTGCAGGAGCAGTTGTCACTCTACTTTCCTTACGTAACATGGGGGGGGGGAGGGCTGAAGAAGTAGTGACCTCGCCTTGCTCCCTTGCCTAAGTGCGCTCTTTCCTTGGCTGTTGGAGTGTGGTTCTCATCATACCTTCCAAAGAGAAACCATGAGCAAGCGAGATGAATCGTTTATATCCGTGCTGCCCAGAAAGACTGTTTGGGCAAAGGCAAGAGCCAACTATGGCTTGTCTTTTTCTTGTCTGCTTCCCTGCATGGCCCCTCTGGAGGGCGCAGTGCTGGAGTTGACCCTAGTGCCTCGGTCTTCCTTGTTGCATCTTCAAGTATGTGAGTCGGTAGAGGGTCTCTTTGGTTCTGGTCTTTCTTTGATTGTTGTGCCAGAGCCCAGTCTTAACCACAGGAACAGCCACCGTTTCATCCTGCTTGCTTGTCTGCTCTCTCCCTCTAGACAGGGCAGCAGGCTTAATCCCTACCATACAGGGAGAGGACCGGAAACCAGAAGTCTCTGCTTTGAAGTTTCTTTGTGATGTGCTTTCATGCCCGCTTTTGCAGGAGGGCAATAGGCAACTTCTCCACGCCTTCTAAGTATGAGTAGCAAAGAAAGGACTTGGGAGGAACCTGTTACTGTTATGACTTGCCCATGGCACACAGTCATGAAGCACTCAGGAAAAAGGACTCAGAATTCCCAGGGAGCCTCTCTTGATGGTGATGATTGCTGCACCTCAGCAGCAGGTCAAGGTGGTGGTCCCACTTCATAGGGACCCCTGATGGTAGCTCACATAGAACTTGTGAAAGAAGAAGCATTTGTAAGCCACCCAGAGAACCTTTGGCTTATGGGGTGGCATAGAAGTGGAATGAAGTAAATAAATAATTAAGAAGTCTTTTATTTCATAGAATCATAGACTAGTAGAGTTGGAAGGAGCCAAAGTGCTACTGGGTCCAACCTGCTCCTCAGTGCAGGTCTCCAAGTGAAACCGTCCCTCTCAGATGGCTGTCCAGTTGCATCTTGAATGCCTCTAGCATGGGAGATCCCACAACCTCCCCAGGTCATTGGTTCCATTGTTGTACTGCTCTAACGGTCAGGAAATTTTTCCTGATATCTAGCTGGAATCTGGCTTCCTGTAACTTTAGCCCATTATTTTGTTTTCTGCACTCTGGAACAATCAGGAAGAGATCCTAGCCTTCCTCTTTGTGACATCTTTTCAAGAGTTCTATCATATCTCCCCTCATTCTTCTCTGGAGGCTGAACATGCCCAGTTTTCTCAATCTTTCTTCATAGGGCTTTGCCTCCAAATCCCTGAATCATCCTTGTTGCCTTCCTCTGTACCCTTTCTAACTTTTCCACATCTTTTTAAAACTGTAGTGCCAAGAAGTGGACACGGTACTCCAGGTGAGGTCTGACTAGTGCTGAGTACAGTGGAACCAGCAGTTAACATATTTTGGAAGTGATGCTTCCATTAGTGTAGCCCCAAAAACCATTTGCCTTTTTTGCAACTGCTTCATATTTTGACTTATTTTTAACTTGTAATCCACAACAAGATCCTCCTCATTTGCAGTATTGTTGAGTCAAGTGTTCTCCATCTTGTAGTGCTGCATTTGGTTTCTTGTTCCTAAGTGGATGACTTGGCATTTGCCCCTACTGAATTTCATTCTGTTGTTCTCTGTCCAGTGTTTTAACCTATGAAGATCGCTCTGTATCTTATCTCTCTTCCAGGGAATTTGCTATTTCATCCAGCTTTGTGTCATCTGCAAATTTAATCATCTTTCCTTGTACTTCTTCATCTAAATCATTAGTAAAAATGTTGAATATTACTGGGCCCAGGACAACTGTCACCTCTCCCCAGTTTGGGAATGTGCCATTGATGAGCACTCTTTGAGTCTGATTTTGCAGTCAACTGTGGATCCACTTGATGGTTGTACTATCTAGCCGACTTTTTGCTGGTTTGGTAATCAGGATGTTATGGGACACTTTGTTGAAGGCTTTGCTAAAGACTAGATGGATTATGTCCACAGTATTCTCCCAGTCCATTTGGGAAGTTACCCAGTCAAAAAATGAAATTGTATTGCAAGTTTCTTGTCATGTATATATTCAAATACATATGTAGAATATTCTGGATGGCATGATGGTGGAAATCATTGTTTCTCAGCTATGTGGGAAAGGCTACTTCTGGAGTGGTAGTTGTGTTAACTTGCAATTTTATGCCTGCTTATGAGGGGCTAAGCCCTATTGAACTTGGTGAGACTTACTCTTCAGTAAACCTGTATATCAGTGTACAGTTATGCAGCAATTTTAAAATACTAATAGATTTGGGATGCAATTCTGTGCCGGCACAGTCCAGCCAGCCATCAGAAAAGTGATGATCTTATAAAAGCCCTCCAAGGTCACAGTGTGGTCTCTGTTACCGTCCCCTATCCTTAGAGCTGGCATGATTATTTTTTCTTGCACGCCAAAGAAGAGCATCTTCCCAGCAGGTGCAGGGTGGGTGGGAAGGAGAGGAATGAGGAAGACTGAAGAGTCCAGGCAGTGCTTTAGCTCCTGCTCCTTGTAAGATGGGGCAGAGATAATCAAGACTGGCTGTCTGTGACTTTTGCAGGGTGGGGGAATGTGGAGCCCTCTGTGCTCCTCCGTCACTTAGTTGGATGCCTGCAACATTCTGAGTTTGGAGGATTATGGGCAGCTACAGAGGGTAGCACCCTCATTGTAATACCAGTTTTAATGGACTACGTAGCCCACTTTCCAGTTTCCTGAGATAAACATGTACAAATATTTTATATTATTTTTCTTATTATTGATTTTGTTGTACTTAGATATTTTGATTTCTACAAAATAAAGCAAATAGACATAGTCTAATTATATATGTGTTTTTTATTTTATGTTCTTTGCTATTTTTGAAAATGTAAGAGAGGTAGCATTTTTGGGCTAAGGTGCGAATTGTGTCCACAGAAGTTTTCAGGTTGTTGGTACCTGTGCTCAGGTAAGTGGAGGATAATTAATTAAAAAACCTGAGAGACAGCATCATTAGATGCAAGTTGCTTCTCTTACAATGCAATCTTGTATGCATATACTCAGAAGTATATTCCATTGGTGGCAGTTGAATTTACTCCCAGGTAAGTATGTATAGGATTGCAACCCTAAGGAAATATGGCATCTTATACTGTAGCTGTTTCCAGACAACATGCTTGCTTGAACTACATTATGGACAACATCAGGCTTGTCTGGAATGAACAAAGGAAATATATTTCTCCCATCCCTGCATTCCTGGAGACATGTGAACTTACTCTTCTAGTTTATGCCATCTTCTGGGACTCCTAGTCCATCACCAACCATTGTTTTCATAGGTGAATTTGCCAAGAAGTTTTCATACTCCCATGTTACCCTCCTGTAATATGCAAAGATCTATGGGTTGGGGTAACAGACACTGAGATTAGAAGAGGAATAGTGAAAGAGAACTAGGACCTGCAACAAAATGGTGGCTTCACACTTTTGTGACAACCCATATTATCACTGAATCATAGGTTGTTGCAGACTTTAGGCTGTTGTATGAATTGAGCTGTAGTCTCAAGAATGGTTTGTTAACCATTAACAATCTACAAAGAGAACCCATGGTTTGTTATTGGGTTGTGAACTGTGGGATGTTTGTGGTTGACAAACCATGCTTTGCTAGCCTGGCTGGGTTCATACAACACGATGACCCAGTGTTTGAGCAGAGCCTGTGATCTGCTGACCTCCCACACTCAACCCATACTCAGCCTTGTAGTTTGTCTTGTTGTGTTAACTTGGACAAAGTTTCAATACAAAGTGCTCCTGCTCAACTTGTTAGCCAGCCATTACTTTTCCATCCCATTCTCCTTCCCTGGCCTCTGATTTTCCGTTCCCCCCTATTGCTACCCATCAACAGCTATCAAATGCAAACTTTGGAATTCCCCCAAGCCTGCTTTTACCTCATTTTTGTGTATGGATGCTGGCATGGATTGATACTAGGAGCATGAGTTTTGTTAGATATGTTGGATGTTTCTAACCCCTTCTGAAGCCATGCTAAGGGAAAAGCAAATCAGTAGCTCTTTCTGACAATCTTTCCAAATGACAGTGGGATGATGGGGCAGTAAGGATGTGTTGAGCTCCACAAATTAAAAATCAGTAAGGTTCTGCTGCTATAGATATTAAATCTAATCTCATTTTGGCAGGGGTGGGGGGAAGGAAGGTGCCACCTGTTCTATGATCACAGAACATCTTGACATGGGAGATTCATGTGGCTCCATCTTTCACTGTTTTTTGTTGCATAGTTAAAACTGCACTATTCTGACAGCCATTTGACCTACAAGTCTAAGGGATTGCATTTAGTTATTTAGAGCATATAGAGTCTAGTAAAGGTGGTGGGTTAGCTTTTTATACCAAAAAGAAAATGGTGGAAGGAGCAAGATTTGTCCCTCTCCACCAAACTCCCACTCACTGTTCTGCTTTAAAACATTTTTATCTGGCATGGCTTCAATACTGGAACTGATTTGGCCAGGAGAAAAAGTCTTAACACAATGGAATTTGGGGAGTTAAAGTCATGGAGGGGTGCATTTTGCTCCCTTCCCCATGTGGTCCACTTTAGAGCACAGAAGATTGTTGGTGACAAGACTGAAAACTCATTTGTATTTAAACCTATTAGCTCAATATTTGTTCTGTTTGCATAGC